AAGCTGGAGCTGCAGTTACTGGCTTGTGAGGAGTCGACAGCTCCTGGGGAGTGCTAATGGCTGGGGAAGGAATGAGGTCATCCAGGAAGATCATGTAGAATAAGAGAAGTGGGAGATAGACTCCTGGGAAGGTTCCCGGTGGTTTGGAGAGAGTTGAGAATGTGAAAAGGGATGAGGGCTTCATTGCATAACTGGATTAGGTTGTTGGCTTCATGTAACCTCAGAAATATTGATGGAGACTTTACTTGTGCCATGGCTGTGGTAGATTTTGCAGGTATAGATGCAAATAAGGTGCACCTGCCCTCCCTCATGGAGTTTATAATCAAGTAGGGGTGAGTGTAGCTTCCACAGAGAGGAAGCCAAGTTGTGTACGACACGTTGGAGTTCTTGGGTTGCAAACAACAGAAACGGACTCTAACTTAAAGTAGTCCAAAAACAAACAAACAAATTAGAAGGATGTGCAGTAACTCACAGAATACAGAGGAGAGTGGGAAAAGCAGGTCTCAGAAAGGGCAAGAACCCAGAGAGCTGAAGGGATTTGGTAAAAGAAACCGATAGGGAGGCTCTTCCATGCTCCTGTGTCTGGTTGGAAGATTCAGTCCACTTTCAGTCTTTATGATACATTTTTGTCTTTATGACACAATTGGCACTAATTAGCCTAACTTCAGTCATGCACCCTCCCCTCGGCCCGCTAAGGTTTTATCTAAAGCAGGAGGGGTGGTTCCTTAAAAAAATCTGGGAGCTGCTACCAGGTGTGGTGGAAATTGCTGCTTAGCCGGTTAAAATAACAGGTGGGAGGTAAGTCCAAGTGATGAGCGTTAGACCATTCTTTCAGTAATTTTTGCAGAGCTACACAGAAAAGAAAGGACGCTGAAGCTTAAAAGGGTTACAGGGTGAGAGAAAAGTTCAGCTGTTTGTTAGCAGCTGGAAACAAATCAGCAAAATTTGAACAATGACGTGAGGAGGAAAAATGAGCCTTAAGGAAAAGCCTAATGACCCCTTCCCACCACAGAGCAGGGAGGTGTGTGTCCATATGGTCTCCTTGTACATTATCATCCCACAGGCCTCCTGTGCTCTATTCCAGTGACCGAATGAGATAAATATATAGGGGTGTCCTTTGGTGGGATAGAGAAAATTTGGAGTACACGTTTGACTCACGACGTGATGACCTTGGTGTCACGTTATTTACAGTCTGGTGTTTGTATCTTCCTTAGTATCTGTAATTTGGTTTTGTAGCTGATATGCCAATTAGGAATTAGAAGGGTGGAACTTCACTTCAGTGCACAGCTGGGGAAATGATGTGACACTCTGAAGATCCCTGGAATTGGTCAGAATTTCCCAAACTGGTAACAGAAATGTGTGTCAATTGGTGCTCCTGGCAAAAGTTCACAGCTCCTTGGTCACATAAGCTTTGGAAATGCTGCACCTTCAATTCCTCTCTTGGATGTTCTTTAGCGTATCAAAGGATGTTGCAAAGAGGGACTTCCTTGATGGTCCAGGGGTAAAGAATCTGCCTTACAATTCAGGGCACTTGGGTTCGACCCCTGGTCAGGGAACTAAGATCCCACATGCCATGGGGCAACTAAGCCTGTGTGCCACAACTACAGAGCCCACGCGCCCTGTGCACCACAACCAGAGAGAAGCCCGCGTGCCACAACTAGAGAGAAGCCTGCGCACCGCAACAAAAGATCCCGCATGCCTCAGTGAAGATCCCACATGCTGCAACTAAGACCTGACGCGGCCAAAAATAAATTAAATAAATAAATAATAAATAAATCTTTTTTAAAAAAGGATATTGTGAAGAAATCTGTTTAATGGCTTATCAGGCCAATTTTTGTGTGCTGATATCAATAACCCCCATGAAGTTTGGAAAGTCCTTAAGTTTAAATGCACTGTCACATATATGTAATTTCATCTACTGTTGTCATGAAGGCCAAAACCTCATTACAATGTATGCCAAGGTCGTAAAATATTACAGGCAGATGTCTAAGAAAATCCGGCCAAAGAATTCTATTCAAGTACACCTGTGATTATTTGCCAAGAATGATATCCAACTTAAAAAATGGCCTTCTCAGTATTAATAAATACTTTCAAAGTTTCAACCCATGAGGGTGCATTATAGACTCTGAGCCTAGAAGCAAATTACCCGTCGTATCAGCTTATCAGCTGCAAAGAGGATTTGAAGATTCAAGGGGATAATGGGTAGATTCGCAGGGAAGGCAGTAGGGGAAGGGATCTGACAGCACAGGTGCGCAGGTGAGCCCTCGCCTACCTTGTCTTCTGAGATTGGTGGGAGGGGTTCAGGATGGATAATAGTCACTTTCAAGGTGAGGGAGAGGAAGACTGAAGGAGTGGAGGGGTGGCAGCTTATCCTTTTCTAGAGTAGTGGGAGGCTAGTTGTGTGTTAGGGTGGTTGAGTATGGTTGACAGTTTATGGTGAGAATTTGGAACACTTACTATGAGGAATGATGGGGGCACTGTAAAGACAAACATAAAAGATTATTGAGCAGTGTTGAGGGCTCAATTTAAGCTAGAATTAATAAATATATAAAGGAGAAGCAATCCTCTGTCAGGATCAGCAATTTTCTCTACTGCTGTTTGACAACACAAAGACAGAGTTAGAAAGGATGAAAAGTTGGCAAGATGCATTATTAGAGATTGGAAGAGCAAGTATTACAAAGAAATTAATGTTGATCATGATGGCGACTGTGGTTAGGGTTAGGGTTAGGGTTAGGGTTAGGGTTAGGGTTAGGGTTAGATGTGAAGATGATGCTATTGAAATGATTTTCACTGGGTCCAGAGAAGGTTTAGAAGAAAGTGAAATCAAGAATATCACAGATGAATCTGAAGATCGGGTATCAATACAATGAATCTGAAACCGTGGTAAAGGTAGAAAGAAAGAAGGTTGTAGTCTGTGTTTGTATCCTGTGGCCGCCATAACAAATGACCACAAAATGGATGTCTTAAAACAATGGAGATTTATTCTTTCACAGTTTTAGAGGCCAGAATTCTGAAACCAAATTGTCAGCAGGGTTGGTTCCTCCTGGAGGCTCTGAGGAAGAATCTGCTCCGTGCTTCTCTCCTGGCTTCTGGTGGCTGCCAACTGTGCTTGTCATTTCTTGGCTTGTAGACGTATCACTACGTGCTCTGTCTTCATCATCACATTGCCTCCTTCTCTGTGTATCTCTTCTCTCCTTCTCTTCTTTTCTAAGCATATTCCTTACAAGGAACCCTAATCCAGGATGACCTCATCTTGAGATCCTTAACTTACTTCCATCTGCAAAGACTCTTTTTCCAAATAAGGTCACATTCATAGATTCTGGGTGGAGGCATCTTTTGGAGGATCACCATTCAACCCACCACATAGTCCTAGAGTGGAATTTCAGTGTGAACCTTTTCAGAATTAGGGCAATTCCGAGGACAAGACCTATGGTATGGCCATGAGAAAGAGTTGCTAAAAAGAAGAGAAAAAGGAGATATTTGGTCAAAGAACTGTAAGACCAGGTTACTGAAAAGAGATGACGATAGGGGCTGGGATGAAGAAGACCAGGTACCAGGTGCCTCTATTCCAGAGGACTGTGAAGATGCATTCTGTGGGTGTTGGGAAGCGTAGTGTTAAGAGTGGGGGAAGGATGCTGTGTTGGTGGTTCTCACCCCTACCTTCACATTGGAATCATCTGAGGAGCTTCAGAAAGGAACCCACCCCCAAATATTTTTAATCAGTTGGTCTAGGATGGGGCTCAGACATTTGTGGGTTTTTTTTTTAACTTTCTTGGGTGATCTAATGAACAGCCAGGATTAAGAAAAACTGGTTAAGGGTAAAACACAACCTTCAGAAAGAAGTAGCAGACTTCCCTGGTGGCGCAGTGGTTAAGAGTCCACCTGCCAATGCAGGGGACACGGGTTTGATCCCTGGTTCGGGAAGATCCCACATGTCGCAGAGCAACTAAGCCCGCGCACCACAACTACTTAGCCTGTGCTCTAGAGCCTGCGAGCCACAACTACTGGAGCCCGTGCTCCGCAACAAGAGAAGCCACCGCAATCAGAAGCGCGCACACTGCAACTGGACAAAGCCCGCGCCCAGCAACGAAGACCCAACGCAGCCAAAAATAAAAACAAAATTTTTATTTTATTTGAGAAAACTGTAGCGACTGGGAGCCAGAGGTGTTCTCCTTCACAAGGGCCTGAAAGAGACACACCTGAGAAGGAGACATCGGCGTGTCCCACCATCCTCCCTTAAACCTTAAGCAGAGCCAGGAAATTAAAAAGTAAGGGAGCAAGAGGTTGCATTAGGGCTTCCGACTGAGGTCCCAACCAGCCTGCAGTTCTGTGCTTCTTCAGTCTTATACCAAGGAGGGAAAGACATCAGAACTCATTTCTAAAACACATGTTATTCCTACAAAGCATGCCTTTCCTCCCCCCAAAAGATTTTCTTAATATATTTAGAGAAGTATCTTTTGCCAGAACAATATTCGGTGGCTTCCTTTGTATTTTTTTAATATGTAATAAACACAATAAAAATTTCAAGCAGCGTAAAAGATTACACAATAAAAACTAATTCTCATTTATCCCTGACCTCCTGGCTCTGCTCCCATTCAAGTCCCCTCCCCAGAAGCAATTACTTTGATTGGTTTCTTGGTATCTTTCCTGAGATAAACAAGTTGTATCTTGCTTTTTTTCATTTAAGCACTAAATCTTGGAAATCATTCCATAAGAGTACACACAGATCTACCTAACTCTATTAATTGGCTATTCCATCAATTTATTTATTTCACGCTGATGGACATTTAGGTTGGTTCTTGTCTTAAAGCAAACTGTTAAAGATCTAAAAAACAAAGTCAACAAGAGTTAAAGTGGGTTCTTCATCAGATGAGAGCAGGTGAGCCTCAAATGTCCCGTTGGTGAGGGGGCGGGTGCTTCACTAGGGAGCTGGGCGGAGGGAAGTGATCTCCAAGCCCCCAAGAGAGCCCTGGCTGATCATGTGCGTTTCTGCCCCGCAGGAGCCTGATGCCCCGGACCCTCGAGAGCCAGATCACGCTGGAGAAGACCCCCAGCTATTTCGTCACTCAAGAGGCCCCTCGCCGGATATTCAACATGTCCCGAGACACCAAGCTGATAGTGGTCGTGCGGAACCCCGTGACCCGCGCCATCTCCGATTACACGCAGACGCTCTCCAAGAAGCCGGACATCCCTACCTTCGAGGGCCTCTCCTTCCGCAACCGCACGCTGGGCCTGGTGGATGTGTCCTGGAACGCCATCCGCATAGGCATGTACGCGCTGCACCTGGAGAGCTGGCTGCGCTACTTCCCGCTGGCCCAGATCCACTTCGTCAGCGGCGAGCGGCTCATCACCGACCCAGCCGGCGAGATGGGGCGGGTCCAGGACTTCCTGGGCATTAAGAGGCTCATCACGGACAAGCACTTCTACTTCAACAAGACCAAAGGATTCCCTTGCTTGAAAAAAACAGAATCGAGCCTCCTGCCTCGATGCCTGGGCAAATCGAAAGGCAGAACTCATGTACAGATCGATCCGGAAGTGATAGACCAGCTCCGGGAATTTTATAGACCTTATAATATTAAATTTTATGAAACTGTTGGGCAGGACTTCAGGTGGGAGTGAGCCATCGAGATGCCAGGGCTCTTCCACTTGTCTCTTCCGCGAGGTTTGCCCTGAGAGCCCTTGACCCTCTTCCCCCAGGGAACCCAGGCTCCAACCCCTGTTCCCATCTCGGATTTCATCATCCTGGAACCCGGGAGCCCAGCTAAGGCCAAGAGACCACGGGGGGTCCCTGACACTAGCCCTCCCAGTCTGTCCACGCAAAGCTGATCTGCTTCTGGCATGTCCGGTCAATTCTGAATGATTTCCCTTCAGCCCTTAAGAGGCCTTGGGAAATTGCTTTAGGAAGAGTGGGAGTGCGTCTTCCAATTATGATACATATTATAAGGGATGATGGTCTGTTGCTATGAACACAGCAGTCTGTCCCTGTCACCGTCCACCCCACAGTGGGTTTGTTAATTTTGAGCGGCATGTACCTCCCCTCTCAGCTTAAGTCTCCGAGCCACCCTGGGTGATGGATGGGGGACCAGCCTCGTCCTCCTGACCTTAGCAGCTCGTGGCGAGATTACAGAGCTGGAAGTGTCCCGCTGGCCACTCCTAGGAGACAGACCCTTTGCTGATGAAATAAACCAGTGATTTCAAAGCCTGTGGTCTCAACTCTGCTTGAACTGTCTTTGAAAACCGCTCTGTGACTCTCCCTGCTCCCTGTGGGCAAAGGCACATAATTCTGCTGTTACGGGTACTTTCCTCACGTGAGCTTTCATGTTCAGCATGCGACAGAATCACGCTTGTCCATGTGAAATAAATACGGCTCTCTCGTGTCCTCGTGGCTGGGCTTTCTCTGTCAGGCCTGGGGCACGGCGCATTCATCCAGCTCCTCCAAGCAAGATGGGGCTGCACTGGGGATGGTCTGGGAGGGCAGCGAGGGAAGAAGGAAGGGGGTGGAGGAGGGAGAAGAAGAGGTTCTTGCTGGCAAAGCCTGGGGAGGTCAGTGGGGACATCCTCTTTCTGAAACATGGTCTGACGGTGTCAGCTCTCTGTTTAAGCTTTACATCTGAAGTGAAGCCAAACCAGAGGCTGATGGGACATCAGACATGTTTCTGCTTGGCCAGCAGGATGTTTTGAAATAATTTCCAACATTTAAAACTTGGGAGTGTTTGTATAAAAATATGGATTTCCAGCTTCTATTTTTAAAATTTTTATTAGAGTATAGTTGATTTACATTGTTGTGTGAGTTTCTGCTGTACGGTAAAGTGAATCAGTTATACGTATACATACAGCCACTCTGTTTTACATTCTTTTCCCGTATAGGTCATTACAGAGTATTGAGTAGAGTTCCCTGGGCTATACAGTAGGTCCTTATTAGTTATCTATTTTAGATATAGTAGTGTGTATATGTCAATCCCAATCTCCCAATTTATCCCTCCTCCCCTCCCCCCTGCTCACCATAAGTTTGTTTTCTACATCTGTGACTCTATTCCTGTTTTGTAAAAACGTTCATTTGTGCTAGCTTTTTAGATTCCACATATAAGCGATATCATATGATATCTGTCTTTCTCTGTCTGACTTACATCAGTCAGTATGACATAGAGACTTGGCCACACTGAGTCTGTGCTCCAGCACGGCGACAATGGCTGTCACCTTTGGATGGGACCTGCACTCCTCGGTTTTTCAGTTCCCACCTGGCCCCCCTCGTCATCTGCCTGACCCTGTAGGCATTTGCGTTCACAGCCCTGCTTTGAGTGTGTACCGTGGCCTCAGAATAAAGTCCGAATCCTCCAGCATGGTGCCCAAAACAACCCCACTGTCAGTTTGGGGATTATCCACTTCTCCTCCCTCACCCAGCCTTACAGAACTACGTGTCTTTTCTTGATCCTTTTCTGTCTCCATGCCTTGCTTGGAATGCTTTCCCCCATGTGTCTCCAGCTAATGGAAACCCCTGCTCCCGTAAGACTTCACTCAGCTGTCGCTGGCTTGATGTTCGTGAAACCTCCCCCAACCAAGCTGAGTTATCTGCTCACTTTTCTGTACTTGGTAGTTTGTATGCATCTCAGTTCCAACTTTTATCACACTAGAGTATCATTTGTGTAAATGCCTGTCTTGACCATAGACCGTGAACTCCCTAAGAGTCAAGATTGTATCTTGCTGGCATGTAGTAGGCACACAGCAAGTGTTTGATGGATGAATGTGTGAGTGTGTGGATGGATGTTGGAGGTCTGGTGGCATGGACAGGAATGCCCCATGGAACTGCACTTCTGGGACACTTCCCAGGTAGCTCCATAGGACACACAAGTAGCTGGGAAGGATTGCTGAACCTCCAGGGGCCACTTTGCCTTTGTCTGCTCTGTCAGGCATCATGGAAGCTTCCTGAAAATAAGAGTCTGACTTACAAGACTTACAAACGTAAGATATTAGCTCTGGGTCTTAGCCCATCTTTCCACCCCAAGCATCTTAGGAGATCAAATGACTGAGAACATGGTACCAAGAATCCAGTTCTGGGAGCCTGCCCCCTCTGTGCATCCCCCATGGGCATGGAGAAGGGACACAGAGGCCAATGGGAGCTGCTACCACCCAGAAGCTGAGCCCTGAATCTCTGGTGATCAGAAGAAGGATGAGTTGTATGTGGACATTAATGAATTGCCCTTATAAATTCCCCATCCAAAAGTATTTGGTGTCCTGTGATCCTGGGCCACACGGTGGCCAAGGTTGTATCCAGAGGGTGATAGAATTACATTGGGACACAAAGGAAATACCCAAGAAAGAGTCAGTGAAATTTGGTTGTTTATCCTGATGAGGGAGAATCCGGTTAGAATTAATGAAAATTCTGAATTTTGTGTGCACAAATGCAGCTTTACTCCTTTGCATTATTAGTATTCACAGACCTCCCAGACTAAGTAGCCTCTAAGTATTAATAAATAGGTCAGAGTCTATTGTAATTAGCATATCAATCATTGTATGCAAATGAAAGATGCTAAAGTGCCTGAAAAATCCTAGTTTAAACGAGTGAAATCAGGTGTATACATGAGTCTGCTCAGCAACCTCTGATTTTTAATCCAGTGCAAAAGTACCCTTTCTCCCAGGCTGCCCAAGGGCAAACTTGCACAAGTTCCAAATTAGTATGGTTTAAATAGATGAGGTCTGACTATTCAATCTGAGACAAAAAAGCCTCCTCCGGGCCTGAGTGTGTGTGTGTGTGTGTGAATCGTTTTCCTCTCTCACTAACAGTCCAGGGTGCACGGTGATTCCAAACTACCGGAGAATCAGGTTCCTTCCATCCTGGAGCTCACAATTCACGATGGCTCATTCCATACTCACCAGCAGGGAGTGTAGAAATCAGTGGAGATCGCCCGAAAGAGAACACGCAGAGCCTCCTGACCCTTCAGGTGTGCCCTGAAGGTGGTTATTGGCTCCGCGAGGCTGGAGGTGGGCTAACCAGAAGCGGGCATCCTTTGTGATTGTTTTATGGGCATACTTGACTTTCTCTGGTGGGTCCTCAGTTAGAAGCAGGGACATAAAAGTAGGACAGCTGGCAGTCATCGAGCAGGTCCTGACCATTCCAGGCCAGTTGCTCCAGGGGTATGGGTCAGAGCTCTGTTGTCATATATGGTCTGGCCGCTTTCCTTTCAAATATTGTCTCCTGGGAGCAAACTGCCAGTCAAGGCTGCAGCATCCTTTCTACTCACGTATTCCTCGTATTGTGAACAGTGCCCCCTAAGCTTGTGCGAGGATAGTGGTACTATTTTCCCTCTCATCACCTTGGGTAGAACTCTTAGATGCGAGGGGAGTAGGGAAATATAATCTGTCATTTTGGTGGCACAGGGCTCGGCTAAAACTGGGGTATTCCATAGAAGCAGGGGAGAGCAGATGTTGGGGGACGTCTAGCTGTACGGGGCACAGAACCCTATCCACGCATCAAAGCTTCCAGCTGCGTCTGGATCTCTTGCGTCTGAGTGTCGCTCTGTAAGTGTGTTTGTCTGAGCCTATCCGAATGTGCCTACACCTGTGTCAGCCTTGCTTTCCCTGCCTCTGTCTAAAGACAATATATCATTGGGATCCTAGTAGGTCTGAGTTTGAATCCTACCTCTGCTCTTTCCTACCTATATGATCTTGGTCAAATTGTCAACTTCTTAGAGCTAGTTTTATCCTTAGTAAACTGGGACAGAAATTGTACCTATGATAAGGAGTTTGTTGTGAGTCTTAGGTGAGAAAGTACGCGCCTGACACATAGTAGGTGCTCACTTGTATTCCCTTTATTTTCACTTATTTGGGTCCTGGCAGTGGAATCTACCACTCCTGTCAGCTTAGATCCACCGCAGCTCTAATAGAACCAAGCTTGTAGCAGTTTCCTCCATCCTATCTCTTCCAATGTGCCTAGGAATTAAGTTACTCTCACAACCCAGGAGCAAGTGGCTGAGTCTAAACTGATGAGCTGCAAAGATTTTGGCCCAATAAACTCAATACCCATTACGCCCAGGGTACCGTGATCATTCACCCTGGTTTTCCCAGGACAGATCCAGTGTATATCTGATGTCCTGGAGAAATTATTGACACTGCCCCTTCCACACTCAGCAGGGCCCCAGTTTGGGTGGTAAATTCCCTGGTGTCCTTATTGCCCCCAGGCCAAAATTGTCCCAGTGTTCTGCTCCTGCTGGCCTAGACCCTGGGTCCAGTCTTCTTCTAGGTTTTCTTTGGTTCTGACCGTTTGCCCTACCTACTACTCTGATCTTACCCTGAACTCCAAAAGCAGTTTATTCTTCCTAAAGGGCTGATCCTCGAGAGAGCATGGCTGGCTCCTTCTCATCGTCCAGTTCTCAGCTCAAATATCTACCTAGAGTTGTCCTCCCTTCCCCCTGTCATTCTCAGTCTTGTGATTCTGTTTTCCTTCCATTATGGCACGTACTGCTATCTGGCATTATATGTGAGTTAACTGGTTGATACCTTTCTCCCCCCTGGGTCTGTAAGCTCCAGGAAAGAAGAGACCATGTCCATCGTCCTCAGCACAGTGCCCAGCATACAGTAGGTACTTAATTATTATTTGAGTAAATGAATGAACTACTGGGGCTCTGTACCCTGAACGCATAACCCCACAGCTTAGTCCCAAGACAGGATGCTGTCCATAAGCTCTACCTTCTGCCTGGGGTCTCTTAGGTCTCTTGGGGTCTTTACTGCCATTATTAGCCTATACAGCACCATTGTGAGAGTTAGGAAAAGGCACTCCCTCTTGGCGGATAAATAGAAAGGGTGACCCTTTGGTATGCACACAGCCTTTGGGGGACACACTATAGCAAACAGAGTGCAGGTTGGACATCAGCCTCCACGCCTCCTGCCACTCCCAGCTGACATCTTTGTGTAAGGCACAGACTGCACCATCACGCGTGCAGTCCTGATGGCCATTCCTCGCATTCACTGAGATTCCCTGGCCCTGAATGCACCTGAAAGTAGCACTGAGACATCCAGGATGCTTTCTGTTCTCCCAGCTTCCTGCCCTGTCTTTGAGGTGCTCCTCCATCCCTACTGGTGTCGTGATGCGTAGTGACTCCCCACACTCCACATTCAGTCCCTCTGGTCTGTGCACACGTGTCTGAGGATGCATGCTTATGTGTGGGTTTGTGTCTTCTTGTATGTGTGTGTCTGTCTCTTTCCTATATCCTCATACACACTTATTAACACTCAAAACTAGTCAACATTTACTGAGTGTTTGCAAAAGGAGAGTATGGAGGTCACAACAGATAACCTTTGTTGAATGCTTTTTCTGTGTCGGCTGCTGGGCTTTCCATATCTTATCAACCCTACAAAGCAAGTCCTATTTCAAAGTCCAGTGAACA